CCCCAAAACCCCAAAACCCCAAAACCCCAAAACCCCACGATTTTTTAATTCATGTATTTGTGATTGTAAGAAGAAAATATCTTATGAAATAAGTAAAATTTAAAGAAATAGATCAGTGCCCTTTGATGACTTCTTTTCTTTGCCATTTAATGAAGTTTTTGTAATCATCAACTACCTTAAACTAGTGAAGTTTCACACTTTTGTATGGGAGCTCAGTTTCTTATGGATATGAAATTGTTTGTGATTCTAGGTATTAAATAACTTGCATTGGTGGAATTACGTAGCTATCTTTGCATAAATGACAGATGGAATTAAAATGCTCTTTAGGTATAGTAATAATATAGACAGCTTCTCCTCCAAATTTGAGGGCAGTTGAAAGTGATTTCATTCCATATACCCAATTAATATTCCTGTACACTTAGCCTGAATGATATTTTTGATCTACCTAGGGAGCTGTATGATAGATAGTCACTGATTCAATGTCAGCATCAAACTATTGCTTATATCTCCCCCAAAGATGTACACTATTAAGAACAGGCATTACAGAATTTAGTCTTCTTGAGCTTTCAGCATAATTAGTGAAAAATTGAGCATCGACATGTTAGTCTCCTTATTTTAATCCTATTTCATTAAAGAACGCATTAATAGCTAGTTTATTAACATCTCTGCACATATTTTTAGAATCAGCATTCAGTAGATTTTAAGAAACAGCATGAGTAATGCAGCAATAGTTTTGCTTAATAGTATCTTTTTATCCTTAAAGTTTTTGAATTACCGGTGAGAGTTCTTTTGAAATAGCTGGATTGAACTAGTATAGTGATTACTCCATTTCTGCTACAGTAGGATCTCTCTTGTTGCTATACTTAAGATGATCATAGTCCCAATATCTTTAAACATTATGAGCAGTTATGAATAACAATGGTTCGTTATTTCTAGTAAATGGACCTTAATTTTTATTGGCATCTTGAATATATAGTATTTAATGAGCAAGATCATCTTTGTCTTCTGGAGTAAGCTCAGCAATGTAGGGCTTGGTTGAATCAAGATACTTTACTAGCTCAGTTACTTTAACCTTCTTTAACTAATCTCCCATTTATTTCAAATACTCAACAGTTTTGACCTAAGCACTTGCTTTATCTAATCCCTTTTCTTTGTACTTATCAGCAGACATTATCATAGCCATTTGCTTATCAATATAGTTTGAGATGTGTTTCTCTGCTTTCTCTGCATCATCCTCAATTTTTTAGAGTTCCTTCTTTTCTACAGTTACAACCTTTTACTCCTCATCTGCTTCAAAAAGTGCATAGAGTTAGAAACTTTAAAAAACTCCTGTCTTTTGTAATATGCCATCATTAAGATGAAGGAACAATTCAAGTCCATAGAATGAATTACTCATTTCGACTACAACACATGTAGTTTCCATAAATGGCTGCATTAGGGCATGTTTTGATAGTCTGTAATCAGTTGCCAATACTTCAGCTCCAGTTGATAAGAACACAGTTTAGGTTTCCTTGAATGCTCTGATGAAGAAATCTTTCCAATCAATTTCCTTTTCTTCTTGAAACTGACTCATACAAAAGAACTTGACTATCTTTGAAAGTTCTTGACTAAGGAAATCTGGGTAGACTATTCTCATTACATTCATGAAGTACCTTTTATCCTGGACACTGTCAAAAGTTATTAGTACTTGGCCTTTCATTAGTTCACTGTATCTGGCGAGTTTGAAAAATTCTTTAGGTTTACCGACATTCGAACATAATTTAGCAAACTCCTTCATGTCAAGTTCTCTGTCTAGGCGAGAAAGCAATAGAATGGAGTCAATCTTGTATTTTATATGGTTGAAAATATCTGCTTATTAGGAAGCCTCAACATTTTCGAAGAAATACATTCTTGAATCTTCTTATGGAACGACTTTGGGTCTGCTCATTTTTATTTGTGTTAAAAGTTTTATAAATTATTAAGATATTATAATTTAACTCTGAATTCAGCGATAATTATAATTTTCAATAATGCAAACTAATCAAAGTACAAACAATCTAAAATCTCCAGAAAATAAGGCAATGAAAGGTAGTATATTAGGATATCAAGAGTAGCAATAAAGAAGTAATTTATTAGTGAAGCAATCATAAATTTTTAGATTCAATGCTTGACTTAAATAACGGTGGCAGTCATATAGACAAGAATTCGGTAACTGAAATTAACCTTAATAACTTTTCATTATAGATCATTTCATTGAGCAAGAATAAAAAGAAGGAAAAAGACGAAAAAGAGTAATTAACATATTTGCTAATCTTTTATATAGCATTTAAATAGACAAACTAAAGGCAGTTAACATCAAACTTAGAAATAAGATTAAGGAATTGAACTAAATAGTTGAGAAAGCGATAGAAAAAGCAAATACAAAGAGAATTATCACAAATAAGCACAAGAACGAGACTTAGTAAGATGTTGGACATCTTATAATGAGTAATTAACTTCTTCTTTAAAAATTTGAATAGTTCGAGATCAAGAAATTCAGAATGCAACTAAGTAGATATAAACTAATGACTATGAAATTAAGAAGTTGCAAGAAAGATTGGATGCCTTGTCTGGAGCTGATAAAATAATTATGCTTGAGTAAAGAATGAAAGATGCTCAAAACTAAAAGTTAGAATTAGAAAAAGCTATAAAGTAGCTTGAAAAATAAAACTAGGACTAAGGAAAGGCATTAGATAAACTAACTAATGACGTAGAAAATCATAATAAAATCCGCAATATGGTTGAAGAACTGAGAGTTTGGAAAGAAAAGGTAAAGAAGTTGGAGAAAGCTTGTAAAAAAGATAAGGAGACAAGAAAGGAGTAGATTGAAAGAATCAAGAAAACAGAAGATGAGAATAAGAAGTACTAAGAGGAACTAGAGACTTTGATTTAGAGAAAAAAATCAAAAATGGGTGATGATGAATAATAGCCAGTCGATGTTGATTAATTAATGTACGAAAAGGACTAGATGAAAATGGAATTTGTGGAAGAGGAGAAAAAGCAGAAGCAAGATCTTAAGCTTCTTGAAAAAAGATTAACAGAACTTAGTCAAAAAGCTGATAAGCTAAGAAAAGAATTGAAAGAAAAAGAACAAGAATAAAGAATTTCCCAATACAAATTGAACGAACTTAGAAGGTCAGTTAAGCATAATTAACTCAAACCATTGAAGAAAGGAACAGCCTCTGAGGGTGAAAATAATTCTGATATCAACCAATAAACTACTCTTAATAAGCAGGCACTAAAGAAACATAACAATATGGTAAGTTTAATTATAAAGTTATCATACTTTAGTTGAAGGGAAACAACAATGGCTTGAACTATAATACTGATAATTCACCAGTTAGGTAGAAGCATTTTGATAAATTTGAAGAGGAAGATGGCATTGAAGATGATGTAGAAAGATAAATCGATGCTAAGGTGAGGTAATAGATAAAAGCAGAGGCTGAACTGGACAAGAATCAAGCCATACCATCTAATTTAGGCAAGTCAATGTCACACTAGCAACTCCCTCCTCCTAAGAAGAGATGAATTAATATATTAATCTATAATTGAAGAGACTTTATTGATAATAGGTTAAAATTATGCTAAATTTAAATAATTCAAATTAATTAAATCAATAATAGCAATGATGGATGTTATTAGTCTTAAAAGGGACTCTGATTACTAAACTAAATCAAATATACTTACATAGCTGTAGAAAGAAGGTTTCATAGACTAAATGAGAGCTTAATTAAGGGCTTAAGTAATCAACGCTATGGAAAAAGAAAAGAAGTCTCAATATGGATCAGCTTCAAAGTATTTGCAAAAATCTGAAATTTCTAATCCTATCACAAAGAAAGTAGTCGATCATGAAGATGGCTTGATGTGTGCTGAGATAATCAGAGAGTTTATGAAATTCTATAAAATGAGTTTGTCACTTCAAGTATTTGAGCCTGAAATGTCAATCAGCTAAAATTACCCTAAAACAAGATAAGAGATGGAAAGAGAGATAGGTGTAGCTGATAGAAATGATAATTCAAAACCATTATTGCTTAAACTAATTGAGCAAGTCAAATATGGATCTGTAGGAGCACCTTCTTCTGATTATAATGCTCCAAGTTTTCAATAGAAAGCTACAGCATCCTAAAGTCTGTGGAACCCCTAACCATAAAGAGAGTAATTTTTATATTACTTAATATTTTTAGTGAATTTTAAGATCCTTTTAAAAAGCAAGTTGCATAGCCATTTATGGATGATCCATTGGAAATTGAAGAGAAAAAAGAAACTAAAAAGAAAAAGAACTCAAATAAAAAAAAAGATGGAAAGGGGAAAAAGGATACTAAATCTAATTAAAAAGAAGATAAGAAAACTAAAGAAAATAATAATACTGCAGCCAATCAATCTTTAACTAAGTTAGATGACTTGCCCTCTTTAGGTGGAGGGAAAAAAGCAGTCACTAAAAAAGATCCACTTGACTTTGATTTTGATGATCTTGAAGATGATGACAACGACCATAAAAATAACAAGCAATTAGATAGCAAGTATTCTAAAGCATAAAAATAATTGATGGATTATGAGGAGGAAGAAAATAAAGGCTTTAAGTTAAAAGTTAATGCTCCTATAAATCAATCTAAAAATCAGAAGAAAATAGTTGATGATTTTATAGATGAGGATATAGAGGAAGAGATTCAAAGTGAAAGGAATGACTATTAGGCTGAAAGTAGTGGCAAAGGCTTCGCTATCACTGTATCTCAATCACTTGGAATTGATAGAAGTGTTGATTCTCTAGAACTAGATGAATATGACCATATAGAATATGTTGACTTATGATTAATATACTCCCTTAAAATTTACATTCCAATTCTCAGAGGAACAATATTTAGACCAGCGGGGTTTGG